CATCATAGTCTTCATCACATGTGAATCGCGTCCGTGATACAATCAAAGACCAAATTATCCATAGCTTATCAGTTAATTAATTATATAATATTATTTTGTTTCACTTTGTCGCAATACTGCAAATTGGAGTTCAAAACATTTTTATCCATTCAAACTATGTTTCGCTTTATATTTGCAATATTTTTTTCATTTTTCTGATGTTTTCAAATTTAATTCACTCAATAAATTTCGCTTAATCATATTTAATTAATTTAAATTCATTGTATTATGTCAATTCATTTTTTTATTATGTTTCACTTTATATTTAAAATATTTTTTATAATTTCTCCAAATTTTTCAATTTTAATTCACTCATTAAATGTCACTTCTTCATTATATTATCTCAATTCATTTTTTTTCATGTTTCACTTTATATTTAAAATATTTTTTATGATTTCTCTAAAGCTTTACAATTTAATTCACTCATTAAATTTGACTTCTTCATATTAAATTATTTTAATTTTATTGTATTATGTGAAATTATTTTTTTAATCACATTTCATTATCTATTAAAACTCATATCCATTTTCGTCATTTTACAACCAAATTTACTTTTACTCAACCATCATCTAAACAACTTTTTACTAATCTCACTTTTACAAACTAACTTTTTTGAACTCCAATCCAAATATAGTTCAGCTTATCCAATTTAGCTTTTATCCAATTTTACTTTTTTCTAAGCTACTTTTACAATCGCTCATCCAAACGGACCCATAATTTGTTAAATATAGGTTATATAATTGCACAAAGCTTTTTTAAAAATGATTTTTATTATATATGCCCAGCTCATTTTAAATTTGATGTTGAGTTAATATAATTTTTGTTTCTCAAATTTGCTCTTATCTTAGTTTTGGTCTGTCACATTTCAAATAATAAGTTTTAGTTTCTCAAATTTTTTCACTTAAAATATTAGTGCTTATAATTTAATAAAAAAACATGGACCATTTTATTCTTAAAGGGGCCAAAACCTACTATTTGAAGTTTGAGAAACTAAAACCAAAATGAAAACAAATTTAAGCGACTAAAGATTATATTAACTTTTTTATATTTTATTTTGATATTTATATTAATTGTTTTATTTGCCATCGATCAAGTGATATTGTCATCTTTTTTTTTGTGCAAAAATGTTTTGGTGAGCCAACAAGGTCTTCAAATCAGCAGTGGGATTCGAACTCATAACTTTATGAGTTATGAGTTGACTTCTTACTAAATGGACCAACTCTTGTTGGTATATTTATTTTCAATTTAATGATTAGAAGAAGTTGGTATTACTTTTGGGCTAACTGGGTATCCTTTTATCTAAACACCAAACAAAAAACGTTATGGACTGGAGAATAAGATGATTCAGGCCCAAAATATGAATTGAAATTAATTAACAATCTATGACGGTGCATGAGAATTCTATTAATAACGGGATACTTAGTAAAAATGTGATTCGGTCGGATTTTCGGTGGAAAATGAGGGAGCGTGTGCAAGAGATGTGAACCAGAAATTTTTTAAAATCTTAATATCTTATCCTAATCTCCTTCCAAAATGTTCAATTAGGCCAAACTGATGTTTAGAAAGCCTAATCTCCAAGCTCTTTGAGCTAAACTTGTGTGTTTATACGGAAATTGGGCAGCTAAACAAGATCAGGGTTTCAGTTTAGGGGCAATACTTAGTAGAGATACTCCTCTGATACTTAATATAAGACCTATTTAACTAATTTGATAAAATTAAGGAAGTTAGGTAAGTTAATTAATTGTAAGAAATATGATATGTTTTTCTTAGGACATTATAATCATCTTCCTTAATATCATCCCTCCCTTTTCTACTTGATCATGGTTGAAGGAGTATCCATAGGGGTAATTTAGAAAAAAATTTTATAAATATAATAAATAGGTCTTATATTTAGAACCAAAATCAACTCAATAATTAAGTCCTATATTAAGGACCGGAGGAGTATTATATATTTTGTGTGCCTTGAAAATATATAGAATTGTGAAATTCACTACATTTGTAAAGACTAGAATTTTCATGAAAAAAATTTAAAAATTTAGCACTAAACTAGGAAATAATTCACACCGCAAAAGCACAGGGATCAACATTCAAACATGTTTTCGGAAAAAAAAAAACATTCAAACAAAAAATGAATTAAATTAAAATGTGAAGAATTAACTACCCATTCAAAATAACCATTTAATCTTAAGAAGCAATATTACACCCGCATATATGTAAGATGCCAGAAATAAAACGATCCATTCAAATGCCTGAGATTCACGACCAGTTTTTTTTTTTTTAAGAAAAAAACAAAGAGAGAGAATTAAAGATATATGCGGAGACTTGATGTTTGTTCATGACACAGTCAATTGTTTTTTCTATTAATTGCTTGTACTTAATAATCTATTATCATTTTCACCAAAAAAAAAAAATCTATATCATATATATGCTTGCACTCGATCCTTTTCATTTATTATTATTGTTGTTATTATGATCTGTTATAGCTAGGGGTGCGGATAAGCTTTGGAAGCTGCTGAGAATAAGAATCTAACACCTTTATTATCTTCTTCAGTTCGTTTAATTTGAAGAATTTAAATTTTTCAAGGTGGCCATGTCTTAATCTTTGTTTATGATATGATGAAGAGGAACCTAGAAGCCAATATATACCTACTTGGCATAGAAAGCTACGTCTTCTCTTAACTTTTCTCCATTCTTTGCATTGCAAATTTGATTTTCCCTTCGAAGTTTTTGTTTTGGATTCATCTTCTTTCCTATGTACAGTAGCTCAAAAAACCAAAACACTCTGATGGATGATGATGGTGGACAATTATTTATACTACCTCTGGTTTTAATTATGAGGTTTTATTTGTAGTCTACAAACGAGATCTTATAATTAGAATTAGAGATAGTATATATATGTATGTGTGCCAAAAACATGTCACCAAAGTCAGTTTCCGTCCACTAATAAAACTGTTGAATTAGAATTCAACGTGGGATTAGTAATTGTGAGGTCCCCACCATAGTTTTGAGTTGCTTGATTTTAACTTTATATTTTGCTTCTATTTGAATACAATGAACATTAATGAATTACATACTGCACAGTACATGCATGAAACTGGACACACTACCAGATTCACTGTCTTGACTTCACTTCACTCTCCTCTACCTATTTTTCATTTTATTTTTTTAAATTTTAAAAAAACAACCACTTCCAAGAAATGTTAAGTGGCTATGATCAATAACCAAAAAAAAAAAAATGAAAAAACGGAGAGAGATTGGAGAATCGTGGGGCTGCCTTGAAGGATATATGCCTGACGTCCACGAAGAAAGGGGCTGGGCGACGCAACGCGAGAAGTATAAGCGAGGGCCACTAGAATTCTCCACTGGGGGGCTTCCTACGTGGCTCTCTTACCCACCAGCAGCTTCCCACGTGTCACGCTTTCCTTTTCCCACATGTTGCCCTGCTTCCTCCTCCCCCGTCCCCGGAACCCCCCTCAATCTCCATCGTCCACCTGTCACCAATCACAAAGTCAATCCCCTCCTCCCTCGCGTGCCGTATCCTGACCCCTTTTTCTGGGGCAAAAAAGAATAATAATAAAATAATACGTCGGCCATGCTCCCAACCGCCACTAACTGTGCTGCCTCATCCTGACTCCACTCAGTTCGCTTCCTCACTCAGCTCAATTTTTTATTTATCCTCTCCAAAAAAAAATTACTGTCTCAATTCTTAATATTAAAACAACTTAGTTAATTTAAATAAATTGTGATTTTCAATCCAAAATATAAGATATAATTTATAGTCATTATGAACTATCTGTTATAGTTAGGATCCGAGGCGTGACGTGATTTTTTTTTAAAAAAGTGCAAAATAAATAATTGTATTATATATTAAACTTTGTTAGATAAATTGGTTTTTAAAAATTGATAAATGTGTTAACTTAACTTTTATAGAGGGAAGAGGACTTTGGGAAGCGTTCACCTATCCTGATGAGACGTAATGCAACAGAGGACGTGGGGGAGCCACGAAGCGGAGCAAAATTTCAGATAGTGGAGGTGTGGAACACAAAATACAGGTTGCAGACACGATATGCCTTTTTTTTTTTTTTTTGCGTAATGAAACTAAATGAATATATATATATATATGAAAAAATGAAGAAGATAATAAATTAAAGAACTGGATGAAAAGGTGTGAAGTGGGAAGGCAGCGCAAATGAGCTGGGGAGGGAGGGGTGCCAGGTGGCGTTGTGGCAAGCAAAGCAGTAAGAAAACGTAGTGGATCACCAGACGCAAAGTGAGTATTCCAGGGAATATCGCCTCATCATCATCATCATCTTGAAACCCCTTCGACTTAATTAGCTTCCTCACGCATTCTGTATTTTTTCTTTTCTTCCTTTCATTTTTAATTATTCGCTAAATCCAAATATACACATAAAGTATGTGGATATCCCATTACAAGATTCGGCTCATATCTAAATGGCTGATCTCATTCCTTCCTATTTTACCAGTTTCATGTAGTAATTTCAATCTCCTTCCCACCGACACGTTTCCTCATTCCTGACCTTATCCTTCCATCACTTCAAGCTTTCCTCCTACGCTGTGTCTTTAAACAATTGAATGTTCAAATCTGGAAATGTTTACCCATGATCTGGAACACTTATCCCAATTAAAGTAAACAAATCCAAACACTACTTAACTTAACTTACTTTTTTTTTTTTTAAAAAAAAAGAATTGTTAAATGCAGAACACATGAAAGAAACAGGGTAAGGGAAGCCCACAGGTGCATCAGATTCCCACTTCCCAATTCCATAAGCGCACACGTATGACGTACCTCTGTTTTGACTTGGAATCAGTCATTTATTCCATTTATTTCCCTCTTTTCCACTACTCTCTTTCCCTCACATTACCTAACAAGCAAGCCTTGCTAAGTTGACCCACTTCACTCTCCAACCTTTTCCAGGTCCTTTCTCTCCCCCCTTATATATATATATATATAAGCCTCCTCTTCATTTTCCACTCATTCCTCACTACTTCTTCTTCCTCATTCTCTCTCTCTCTCTAAAATGGCTTTGGAGGCTCTCAATTCTCCCACTGCTACTCCCAATCCTGTGTTCAAAGACGATGATCCTCACTCTATCGAGGCTTGGACCAAGGGCAAGCGATCCAGACGCCACCGTTTTGATCAGAATCCGCCGTCCGCTGAGGAAGAGTACCTCGCTATCTGTCTCCTCATGCTCGCTCAGGGTGGCGGCGCCAATCCCAATACGACTTCGTCTTCCTCCCCTGATCCTTCTTCTGCTTCTCCGGTCAAGCTTTCTTATAAGTGCTCTGTCTGTAACAAGTCCTTCCCTTCCTACCAAGCGCTCGGAGGACACAAGGCCAGCCACCGCAAGTCATCCTCCTCCTCCGATCACCACCCTCCCGCCGCCGACAATTCATCCGCCTCCACCTCCACCGCCGCACCTGTTGTTGGCGGCGGCAAGCTGCACGAGTGTTCAATCTGTCACAAGGCTTTCCCCACCGGCCAGGCCCTCGGCGGCCACAAGCGCTGCCACTATGACGGTGGCAACGCCAACAACAGCGGCACCGGCGGTGGAACGACGGTGATCACATCGTCTGAGGGGAACACCTCATCGGTCACGCACAGCCACCACCGCGGGTTTGACCTGAACCTCCCTGCTCCTTTGACCGACTTCTCCCCGGCTGGGATCATCGGTGCCGCCGGGAAGAGTGTAAGGATCGGAGAAGAAGAGGTGGAAAGCCCGCTACCGACGCCCGCCACCAAGAAGCCTCGTTTGTTCATGGACGAAGAGTGAAAACGATGATTCTTCCTCAGAAAAATTGATCGGAATTCTTATAATTTAGAGTATTGAATCAGATAGATTCAAGAATTTGATCATATCTTCTTGTTTTTTTCCTGCTTTTCCTGGGGGGGTTGGGTATACCGGATTAACTCACAAGTTCGAGATTTTGTTTTTGTTTTAGTTGCATTGTTGCTCTGTACAGACAGACAGATTTGTTCATTATTGTTTTTGGAAGCTAGTTCTCTGTGATTTTAATTTAATTATATTCTCACCATTTGTGCATATCCATTTAGTTCATTCGCAGCCTCTACCATCTTGATAGCGATTCATGAAAAATTATCAGACTCATTACACTTTAAAATAATACAACGTGATTCTGCTGTCTTCTAACTTTGCTTACCTTATAAGTCCAAACTCATAAATTTGCACATTATATAGTTAAGAAAAAAAGGGTAAATGATATGTGTAATTAAAATATTGAATTAAATCAATTACATTTTATAATTTTGAATGATCAGCTCTAGTACCAAAAGGAAAAAAATTAAAATTGATCCAACTTACAATCCCTTAATTATGCTTGGTTGGGGTGGTGATCGGATTCTCAAAAGCACTTATTTACTCCATTTGAGACAAAACTCCTATTATGTATTTATTTCTTATTCATTAAATTAAAAAAATTCATTAAACTAATTTTATTGGATTATGGTAAGTTTTAACAACTAACACACAAGCGCAAGGTAAAAAAAAAACTATAATACACAAACAGATATTATGGGGTGTTTGGATTTGTTTAAAAGTAATTCCTAAAAATATTTTTTTATAAATCGAGATAAATTTTTTACATTTTTTTTTTGTGTATCGTGAATCATTTCTAAAACTATGATTTGTTTTCTATCTAAACACCTTCATATAAGTCTCTTCGAATCTTAAAAGTGCGGTGTGATACTGAAACACAACTAATAATTGAATGTGAATAGTCAGGGTGTGGAAATTTTCTCGAACTCAAAATTTTCCGGGAAATTGAGGAAGGAAAAAAGAAAAGGAGGGGGGGAGGAATGATGCAACTACGCGTGAACAACGCAGAAACAGAAGGGGAAGCCATGATAATTTATTATTATTGACATATATATATTTACTAGTCATTTTATTCCATTTATACACAGCTTAAATGACCTGTCCCCATTGAAGTCCAAGACAGACCAATAAGACCCACCCGTACATGAATCTAACTATATTATGTCTCTTTTTCTTTTTCTTTTTCTTTTTTACAGTGGGGCCCCTATATGATATACCATTCTAGTTTATAAATTCTAATTCAAGAAATAAGAAAATAAAAGAAGAAATAAAAACGTAGGAGATAATTAAGTAGAAGATATATATAATAAGTGGGCGAATACGGGCAGTGAGTTAGGCAAAAGGGTAAGGTGAGGTGAACCAAAAATCCAGGGCATGTGGTTCAGAGGCAGAAGCCACATGTTGGTAATGATAATACCAAATTTGAGAAGATATTTTTTTAATTTATTTGTGTGGCTTTAACACACTCTGTATTCCATACGTACTCTCTTGTCCTTCATTTGCAGGTTGGCTAAACCCCACTAATTAATTAATTAATTAATTAATTTAAACACCTCTTAATTACACCCCTTTGGTTTCCACGTTTCCACTAATATATGCACTCGCCTACTCCTATTTATAGATAACTTTTGGCATCTGAACTTGAATTTCTAAAGGTTTCAGGTGAAGGGATGTAATTATTTTAAAAATTATTGAGATTTCTTGCAAATTTTACAGTTTAACAAAAGTTATAATAATATTTTGGGGAAAAAATTTATAAGAAAAATTCATGTGAATTATATGGTACTTTCTGTTATAAATTTTGTATTGATTATATACTGATTGATTTAGTTTTTTATTTTAATTTTAAAACTCTAAGATTCATGGTCTTAAATATAATCTTCCAAAGTATATAAAATTGTGCGTAGCTACTTTTTTGCCACCTTTTTTCTTGCTAAATTGTTTCTGTACCGATTATAGATACATTGATATTTATATATATGTGCTCGTTTTTTTTTTTTATATTCGAAGGTTTTTTTATTGGAAAAGAAAATTCGTGCTGAACTTCACTTTCTTTCTTATGTGATCCTGGACACGGCATGATTTTAAGAAAATATACCTAAAAAAACCATATTCTAGTTGCATTAAACGTGAGGTATTTATAGATGGCTAAAAAAAACACGTGAGGTATTTTTAACTTTTTTAAACGGATAAAAATTAAAAAGTTCTTTTTTATTATTTTTGTTTAAAGGTTTAATGCTTTAATTTAGATCTCTCTCTCTCTCTCTCTCTCTCTCTCTCGCTGTGGGAAAACGCTTCATAATCATACTTTAACTTTTCCACTTTCTTTTTGTCTCTGAAAAGTACTCCAAAGTACAATTTTCTTCAATAATATCAACTTGCATGAAAATTAAGATTTTTATTAAAAAGAGTAGGATTAGATTTAGAAGCTACATTTGCGTCCGCAGCCACCAAACTCCATCTGTATAGAGTTGTCTGGGGAATGCTTAAACGTGGGTTTGTTATAATAATAATTATAATTATAATTATAATTATTATAATGATAGAGTCAACCCGTGTTAACGTGTTTATGTGAAGCTTGAATCCAAATCACTGCGATTAGCGTGTTTTTATAAGTCTGGTCACCTTGTGTTCCCACCACCCCCCCCCAATCCAAACACGTCCAAACATTTCCTACAATTTAAAAATCGTCCAAAGGTGAAAAAAAAACACCAATAAAATTGGATGCCATATTATCTTAATTGTCAGTTTAATTATATGTGTATATATTGTTAGTACTTTCTCCGGTCCTATTTATAAAGTTTAAATAAACGAATCATGTTTAATGAATTAACAGTTAAAATTAGTTAAAAATAATAAATAGGTAAGAAATGCCCCTTTGATCTTATTTATTAGGTAGAGAAAGAAGATATTTTTTAGTTATATTTATAGGGCACTAAAAGAAATTTTAGTCTATATAAAACATGTTGTAAATGATTTATAAATAAAACCATAGGAGTATTTTTTTAAAAATTTGCCTTTATTTATTAAAAAAGTAGAAAAGAGACAATAAATGAAAAAAATAATGAAAAAAAAATAGAAATAATATTAATAAGAGAGATATAATCAACTAAGAGAAAAATAAAAAATAATAGGGATAATTAATCTCCAGGTCCTTATAGTTTCATTTGATTTTTAATTAGGTCTTTATAAAAAATTTTCTTTTTATCAGATCTTTTTACTTTCGTGTGTTTTTAATTAGGTCCTTCTATTTTTTTTCTTTTTATCAGGTCCTTATAGTTTCACTTATTTTTTAATTACGTGCTTTGTAGTTTTTGAAAAATTATTTCTTAACTTTATTCTTTAAAATTAATTTCATTTTTAAATTAATAATTATATAATTGGACAAAATAATTAATATAATCATTTAGTAATTAATAAATAATCAGAATAATAATTATGCTCAAATATAAATTATTTATAATCATATTTTAATTTTAGATAAATTTATTATTATAATTTGAATTTTATAATTATAAATTGAATTGAAAATAAATAATATATTTGTTTAACTAAAAATTTAAAAGAATATTAACATAAGATTGTTACAATAATTTATTATTTTTAAAATGTTATTATTTGTAAAATAAAGAATAAAAACTAGAAGGACCTAATTAAAAACAAAATAAAACAATAAGAACCTGATAAAAAGAAAAAAAATTATAAGGACTTGATTAAAAATATATGAAAGTATAAGGATCTGATAAAAAGAAAAAAAATTATAGGGACCTGATTAAAAACCAGTTGAAACTATAAGGACTTATATATTAATTATCCCAAAATAATAATAAATATTTAGACAAATTTAAAAATAAAGTTTATATTTTAAACTAGATTTACTTTTTTAAGGAAAGTTTACATATAAGACGGGAGGCGGGGAGGGAGCGTAAAACATGCCAGGCATGGGCCAATGAATGAATGAAATGAAATTGTATGGGGATTGTAAAGAATTGCAAACAAAATTAATTATGAAAAGTACAGAACGTGACTTTGAAACCATAAGTTGAGCCAAGCGCAATAAATATTCTCATTCAGACACTGTGATGGAGGAATTCTTAATAAAATATATTTTATATAAATCAAGATAAAATTTTTCTTACATACTACCTCCGGTCTTAATTATAAGAGCCAGTTGACTAATTTACGGAGATTAAAGAAGTAACTTGAGTTAGTTATTTGTCCTAAATAGGTATTGTCTTTTCTAAAATATCCTTACTAATCAAGTGTATTGACTAGAACTATCATTATTACAAAGGCTACTTTGAAAAAAAATGTATAAATATGAGAGACAAAGTGGATTGGGGTTTTATATTTAGGACCAAAATAAAAGTCCAACAGGGTCTTATATTAAGGACCGGAGGTAGTATTTATCTTATATTATGTAAATCACAATTGAAATACTCTTCTGGTCTTCAATATAAAACCTATTTAACTAATTTGATTAGATTAAGAAAGTTAGGTAAGTTAGTTAATTATAAGAAATATGACACGTTTTTCCTAAAATACCATAATCATTTTTCTCAACACCCCCCACTCTTTCTTCTACTTGATTATAGTTGAGGGAGTATCTACAGGGATAATTGAGAGAAAATTGATAAATATGAGAAATGAGTTTTATATTTAGGACTAAAACCAACTTAATAATTAGGTCCTATATTAAATACCGGAAGAGTACTGTTTATCATAAGTCATTCCAAATCGTGCGTTTGACTTTTTTAAAAAAAATTTACAAGCGATGTCAAAAATACATCACATTGCATATCCCTTGATTCAACACCAAGTCACAAAGTTCACACACTCATACCCCTCGTCTCGCTTTCCGTGTCATTACTTGCTAGGTGTTTGCTGCCACATGAGACACGTGTACTCCCCCTACCCAAAAAAAAAAAAAAAGAGCCTTAAGGCCTAATCAATTTTTTTCTTCCCAACGTATATAATCATCCCATAAACTCTTTTTTTTTTCTTTTTCTTTTTCTTTTGGAGCAAAGTTATCCAATCAACTTGTTGACCAGAGTTTGCTTGCACTCCTTGTAGTGCTTTGAGTTACGTGTATGTTCATTTTGGTTACGCAGTGTATTCTTGTTGAAACACCTTTAAATAAGGACCCCTTTCTACCATTTTAAATAATGTAATTTAGCTTCTATTTTTTTAATAAAATTTTTAAACAATAAATCATTTTTAAA